TCAATGACACCCCCACCCCTTGCTTCTAATATTAGCCATGGACCACTTTTCTTTAGCTAGACGTTCCTCAGCATCTAACTTCAATGTTAAGTCATTGTTAAATCATTCCCTCTCAATGTTTTCGTCCCCATCTTACAATGTAGTGTTCCCATGCTACAAAGGCTTCATGTCCATAAGGACAGAAGGAATTATTACACTAACCAATAAGTCTTTCAACTTAAAAATGGCCTTTGTGTATAGCATTATGATACAAAACAAACAATTCTGTCTCCTTTAAGTTGAATCATGCTAAACATAATTATACGGTAGATAAAACAATATATGCACCTGCACGCACACCTTCACTGAGCAGACAATCCCCTGACATTCCCATCTAGTAATCTAGTAATCTTGGCACAGTAATGCCCCTTCTGTCCTCATCACCTGCTTTCTGCATAATGCATCGGTGACAAAAAATCTCAGGAAATGTCAGCTTCCAGCCTGCAACTACTCTATACCAACTCCACCGGTGTCAGCTGGCTGCCCACTGAGCTCACCGTGCCACTTCTAATCTTGCCACCAGCCTGCGGGGCCAATCTCGCACCGCTGAGTGTTGGAGAAGAGCCTTGGACAGCCAGACAGCGGGTGAGTGGTGGCAGGGTTTGGTCTAGGGAGGAAGAGGAAGAGAACTACGAGCTAATGGCTAATCCTGTGTGCACAAGACCACCAGAGAGGATAGGCCGGGGGCTAAAGAGAGAGCTATTGGGAATAGACGTCCAGTCCAGGCGAAAGGGAAAGGAGCTGTAGAAAAGAGGAGGAAGAGTAAAGCTGTATCAGGGTGTGGAGGACGAGTGAGAGGAGAAGGATGGAAGAGGCAAAAGCTGGTGATCACTGGCCGAGAAATCTGAGGGCACAAATATCTGCGCTGTAACTAGGGCTGGGCGATATGGCAAAAATGTTATCACAATAAAAAGTTTCATATCTTCCGATATCGATAATTATCACGATAAGTATCAAATCATTATTTCTTTCGAGTTTAAAGGCTGATTTTTGCTCCTGAGTGAAAGTTGAAGAAACCTGATGGTTAATTGTGGTTTAAACTCTTCTTTATGGTCAACACGTGAGGCCAAACAGTGGATCACCTCACAAATCTGAGGCAATCATTCAAAACAATTATGATAAAATCTTTGTTAACAAATATGCATGAATAAAATTAAGTAAAAGCTTTTTTCAGTCATTTTTCCTCAACTAAATAAACCTAATTTGTGTATGATTCAAGTGAATAAAATCAAACATTTATTGAACATTTGTTATATAGTTATTGAAAAAAAATTTATGGCGCGAATTTTTGTTATAGTCTTATTGTCCAGCTTGTGCATGATTGACATTGCTTTCATCTTTTGGCAAACTGTGGCTCGCAAAGTGAGTTAAATATTAACACTCGTTAAGCTCTGCGAAAAAATTAGCGATTTTAACCCGAAATATGATGAAGGGAGAATTTTTTCTCTTCTATTTAACATTTGCCATAGATTTAGCTACGAGTTGTCTATAAAGCACTTAATTTGACTCAAAAAGTCTTATACTGTGCAAGTTTAGTTCAATTATCAATAGCACTGCAAAAACATGACAACATTCTCAACAATGTAATTATCAAGTATAAAAATACTGATTTTTATCTAATAGTGTGATTTAGTTACCTGTTCATAAAAATTACATTTACTGCACTCTCAGTGAATCTGTAAATGTGCAAACGTTGTTTATTTCAGAAGTTTAACTACAAGACACGTAATGTCTCATGCTCAAACTGCACAGCAAAGTAACAATAAGAAAAATACATTTTTTAAGCGAAGCCTTAAACAAATTGTTTGTTTAAAAAGCAGAAAAAAAACACGGTCTTCATTATTTTGTCTAATCTCAGTCTGTGTAGTAACTGCCAATCAAAACCAAATAAAAAATGAGGCCTTCTTTTTAAAATAATGTTATTTTGCATTTACATTTACTGTCCAGTCATACTGAAAGAAATCCAGCAAAAAGAAGCTACCAGATACCAGTTCCTCAGAGAGAGAAACCAAAATAGATGTCCTTTGAGGATGGGATGTGACTCTAACCATTATCTCCACCTGAAGCTGAAAGAGCAGCGCTAGATTGACTTCCCGTTTAAAATAACTATGTTGGACGGGTTGACGAGGACAAAAGAAAAAGCATGCAACTTAATATCAGTGTTTTTCACCAGTAGACCCTTTCTCACAATGTACTGTAATATTTAGAAAAATACATCTTTTCCTCACTAGTCTTTACTTCATCAAGCTGTTCCAAAGTCCAGGCTCACGACCAAAGGTGACTTTGTCTTGAGCCTGGACTTGGCTCTGGAACTTCCTGCCTGAGAACCTAAGGCTTGCAGGTTCACTGACGTCTTTTAAATCACTTCTCAAGACATACCTTTACATAAAAGCCTCATATTCATGTTAGTGCATCCTTTCATATTTATTTTGTCTATGAGCCCATTTTTACTGTGTCACGTTTGAGGAATCTTGTTTTTTTTACCTTTATATCATTTTAAATTGCTTGATTTTGATTGGCTTATATTATATATAATTTTTGTTCAACCATGTAAAGCACTTTGTAACTCCGTTTTAAGATTGTCCAAATAAAGATTATTATTATTATTATTATTATTATTATTATTATGCAGTACTTGATGTACATTATGGGCGAACTTTCAAACTGCTCCTAGATGCAATTTCAGTGAGTAAATAAACACGTCACCTGTCCCTTTATTGCCAATACCCTCAATATGATCTGCTCCTCTAATGTAAACAAACCACGAGCCACACTGGGCTCTCCCAAAGCACAATCTATGAGTTCTGCTCTCAAAACACAACGTCTTTGGCATGCAGAGTTTCCGCCCGACTTTAGTGCCACGAGGGATTCACCGCTCCTCCTGGGACGAGTGTTGAAGCCAACAAATAAACAGCCTTTCAGATGTTTACATTTGGAGCACAACGCCGTTGAAGGCCTCCAGAGAGTGAGTGGAAAGCTCATTTGCACTGTCGATGAGAAGAAATCAGAAATGGCGCCTTAAGCTTATGACGTTTCAAACTGTATTTAGGTTAACTGGGAAACGTTACAGACACAGCTGCTATGGAAATACTGTATATTGATGCGGAACTGGTATGCATGAATTTGCATTTTTAGTTTTTACATAGGTCTTTTTATAAAGCAAATTTAGACCTATCTAAATGTCACATTGTCGATAAAAATGAATCCTTTTGATTTAAAAGTGACAATGTCCAGGATTAACTGGATTTATCTATATCTACCATGTCATGATCTCTACTGTTGACTGTAAAATAAATAATGGAGGCCACGGTCAGGTCAATAACTGTAATGTAATCATCTGCTCTGCTGTCATGGCTTACTACATTAATGACTTCTGTAAACAATAAGATGAGAAATAACAAACACACATATCTACAAGGTGTCCAGCCGATATTACACCTTCACTGTGAATTTAAGCCCCATATAAAATGGCCTGTTCTGGGTTACTGCTTAACTGAGCATCAGCAGAATAATAAGTGCTGCAATTATCTTCAAGCAAATGAGAAAATGTTCTTCTCCTTGGTAGAATGACCCACAAGGCAAACCTTAATGTGACTCCTCTCTATCCTGTCTTTCTTTCTTTTCTCTCTCCTTCCTTCTTTCTTCATACCTGGAATTGAAGCCAACATCTCTCTGTGTGTAGCTCAAATTGCTTTGCTAGCATCCGCCTGCCACACACGGTCTCTAATGAGGTGTACTAGCTCGCTGCTGACAAAGGAAGTGACAGCTGGCGTGATTACAGAAATCTGGGACTTGACCAAACTGTAACTTGAGGAAAACGATCTGGGGAAGGGGAAACTCTAAAAGGAACATCAATTGCGCTTGGAAGCCAAAATCTAGAAAAGGAACAACATCTGACAAGCAATCATCATGGTGACAAAAAGCCTATGATGTTATGGATAAATTGGGCATTTTAAAAAGAACTGCTGTAGTAGTAATAGTAGTATTTTTAAACCCAAAAGAGAGAAACTGAGCTGAGACAAGCATTATTATTCCATTACAAGTGTCTTTATCAGGCTTACATAAGAAGGCATGACCTGAAATCCCCAGGGGAGGGCCAAAAGGGCGGGTGGATGTCGCCACTGCTGCTGCATGAAGGATTATGAGCCTTCATTTATCTGGGACATCCTATCTGTATCCCTGAGTACAGTATTTACGGACATGACAGTTATACTGTATACAGCAGATGGTTATGGCACAATATAACTGAATATCACTGAGCTGACATATACTTTGCCAGGTTTTCCCAGAAGATGAAGATACAATCTGCCATTTGTTTTATTATCCCATGTCTGTTTGGACATTATGAGGGGCTGCTGCTATATGTGCACTTTTACAGTCTATTTTTTCTCAAGTTAGATTTGAAGATTCATAACTGCTGACTTCTAGTTTACACTCCAACTGGAAGGACAGTTCACAACAGAAGCCATTTAAAGTCATTCTGCGAATACGCCCCCTCTCGCACACACACACACACACACACCCACAACTCTTTCCAAAAGAGCCCACCTGATTCCCCTGTTCCCTCTCTTAATCCCAGCCAAATCCTGTCATTACCGAAAGAAGTCCAATCCTCCCATCTCTCATCCCCAATATCCATCCATCCATCCCTCCCTTTGCGTTGGCCCCCCGATTTTGGCGCAATCTTCCTCCCCTCCCGCGCCACTCTGCGTCTCAGCCCTGTTCCATTATTTTCATGAATGACGAAAAAAATATGTGACAATAAAATCCCTGATGCCGGTGAGAGCGAGGGCTGGCCCAAAGGTGACCCCGCTATTTTCATCAGCCTCCGTCCCACTTTTCACCACCTCTACTGATAGCTCTGATGCACGGCGGCTGCCACTCGCCGCTTACGTTCCCTTCTCACACCAGATACTGTCTGAACACCACCACCACCACCACCACCACCACCAACTCATCTCATTCAGGGCCCCTGCTGTGCGCATACACAGTGGCAATGGAAATTTTAATAACAATTTCAAAGTGGTATGATTGGATACGTTCCCGTGGAGAGACGAAGGAAAAGCAAAAGCAGCAGAGGTGAGAGATGGAAGACGGTGTGAGAGAGAGTGAACGTGCGTGGATAAAGGGATCTAACGACTTTGCTTCTATCTCATTTGCAGATCCTATCCCTCTCAGTCTTTATTACCGAGTTATCCCCGTGCCAAAATAAAGGCTTACAGGCCAAGCCTTTCTCATGTGCACTGCCTGAACGTACGCTTCTGAGACCGTGAGATAGGTCTGTTTTAACATAGGGACTATCTCGATGTACATTACAATAAATACGCCTTTTCGTGTGCTCTACTCCTGTACTGTGAGGAATGGGGCTATTTGTGTATACAACATGTTTACCAGGTCCTAAACCTTTTATCTTGACTATCAGCTTCGAGCCTGAATTCAAATTGAGTATGTAATGCTGCTGTTTGGTCGATGTTATCTCAAGTGACACCAATAAAAGCAAAGGAATGGCACACTGTACCACAGCCCTCATTATAGGTATCAAGCACAAAGCGGCCGGAGTTCAAATGTCAGTGTTTTAAATAACATATCTAACAAATGTATAAAAAATGTGTAAAATCCACCAGCACAAAACTACAGTCTTTAATGCTGTTAATGCTGCTACACTAACTAGCTTTCATTATTACCTATGTTAGGCATTTGTAGCATAAATGACATTTTATTATATTGCAGGTAGCAAATTCTAACCTACTTATACATTCTGAATCATCAGTGTAACTGTGTAAACTGCAATGGCAGTTTTTATTTTAGTAGAGTACAATTTTTAAAATAAATTATAAGCTGATACATTATTTTACATTATTTTCTCATTTCAGTCTTGCTATGCTTGTAATTTATGTAATATTTGAAGCAGTTCTCTGCTAAAATCGTTAAGCTGGAAATCCCAAATTATCGGGTACATAAACTTTTATCCCATTGTGTGTGTCTGTCTATAACGAAGTGTTATGTGACACAGGCAGGGGTCAGGTGCTCTCTTCTCTTGGTCCCACTGAGACAAGAACAAGCACTGGTCAAGTTTCATCATGGACAAGTGCAGAGTGCGTGATAACTGGGGAAATTTGAAACATAAAAAATAAATAAAAACACCCCAAACCAACGATTGATAAAATTGGCTAACGTAGATTCTAATCATGCCTAGTTAATATATTACAACATGTTCCAAGATTCACTACAATAAATGGCATTTGACTCCCCACATACATTAAATAAAACACTGATTTGACTCTGCAAAACCTTTTAGTTAGGAGCTGTTCTCATGGGCTTGGTCCACAGAGGGATGACCAGTAGGTAATAGCCAGCTGATAATAAACTCACCACTGCACTGCACAAACCCCTAACTAACACAGTTTTTCCATATATAAAGCAAATTAACCAAGCTGTGTGTGCACGTAGCTGTGTGCTTGGGATATGATCTAAAATGTACTGAATACTATTAGTTGCAGGAGTTATTGAAACAAGTTTTCTGTAAAAACTCAAGATTCACCTAAACTTTGCAATAAAAGCCACAGAGCTTTCCTGTAATGTTGATGATATTGGTGCAGAATGCCAACTTCACTAAGGTTCAGACTTTCCAACAAGACTGGAAGCCTATCTGCCCTTCGGCTTTCACCTGCCTATTAGGGTGGAACATATTGGCTAGATAGGTTTTGTGTGTGTGTGTGTGTGTGTGTGTGTGTGTGTGTGAGTAAGACATGCAGCATAGAATGACCAAATAGGACACGCACAAACACACCCACACCCACACACACACACACGGGTGGGCTGGCGGTAGCGAGTCTTATCGCTATGCCACAAAGTGGGAAGATTAGATTACTCACTTCCCTAAACCTCTAACTTGGTTACCATAGCAATAGCAGTGTGACTAGGGCAGCAGCTCGTCACTGTGGAGGCTGCTGAAGCAGGAATGGACGGATGGAACAATCACCAGGGGAAACGCAGGCCAGCCGGCTATTTTCCCTCAGTAACTCACCATCCTGTTAAGTTCTTTTCTAACTTCCAGTTGTTTCCAAAGTCAAACCAGGCAAAATAAGGTCATGTTACGGTCATGTGTATTCAGCATCTATTCCCTACACACCAAACACTGTAAAAGCAGTGGTTATTTTTATATTATACTTGATATTAGCTAATATTAGGTCTAATAGAGGGGAATTAGGCTTTTGATTGAATATGTTGTGCTACAGTTTTTGGAGAGTCAATAAAATAATAGTGTGGAGTGCGACCTCATAAAATCATTTTTGTGCATTGCTGCATACCGACCAAGGGGGATCAATTGAAATTGAATTCATAATTGCACCACAGTGGAGCCTCGCCCTTAATTCAAATTAATGAAGTGCTTGCAAATCCATAGTGTTGTAGGTCTGATCATTAGATTAATTACCTCAATCAGGCTATTGTATTTCAATTAAGCCAAGTGCAGTGTTTATCTTTGCATTAGTCAACACTCAGAAAAGTTAATATAAACTATAGAGTGGAGACATGGTGTGGTGCATGTGCACATGAATATACTAATACACACATGTAGGCTTCCGTTCGTACAGAGGAACTAGTGCTTAAAAAGTCTCGGCCGAAAAAAAAAGCTCGGCAAGTAATTAAAGAGACTCAAAGGGAATCAGGTAGCTGAAAAGACAGAGAGACACTTAGAAGAATGCCCCATAAATACTGGTAATTAGACTGCAGACAGTCCTGATGCTCTCTCCCTGTCGCTAAGGACTCATAATGGAGTCATTTTTTACCATTCAAACTGAAAAATGGCTCTGATAAGTTACGGGACACTGTTTTGACCTTGACAAAGCACTTCATTTAGATAAGAGTTACCCTTTGAAACTGCAAGGAAATTCGGTCACTTTAATGCCGGTGGCTCGCAGAGCATGACAGAGTCTAAATCTTTGACTTTGGGGCTCCTTACCAGCTGGTTCTATTTGGGACTAATTTAGGTCTACTAAAGGATGTGTCAAAAAGCACATATTTAATATTGAATTTGAAAAAAGCCACATAGAAAGCACAGACTTAAAGTACATTTAGTCATTTAAAAAATATAGTGAATAATTAAAGTTACTGGTAAGCAAACGAACATTTTAACAGGCTGGATCATCTATGGAAAGATATTTTAGAGATATTTAGTGATCAACTCCATGTTCTGTATAATGACCATGCTAGCCACGAGTCCTCTGCCATGGTCGGTCAGTCCACCACTCCTTGGTCCAGACTAAAATATCTTAATGACTGCCATTACATTTTATGACCTGACATTCATCATTCCCAGAAGATGAATCCTAATCACTTTTATCATCCCCTGACGTTTCCACTAGTGCCACCGTGTGGTTCACACATGTCTCCGCTGTGCTTTGTGCTAATTAGGAGATGCTAGCATGGTAACACGTTAACCTTTAACTGCACACAAATCACAACCGGTACCACACACATTATAAATACTTCATGCCTAAATGTTCAGAAACAAGACTTTGAGTCTACAGCAGTGTTCGAATTAAGCTCAGGACTAAAAACAACAAAATGAGGTTACAGCATTTCTTATAAATAATTAGAATCAGATTATCTGGTGAGTGTGGCTGATTTTATATTTTGTAAATAACGCATAAGACATGTTTGGTCTGGACATGTGCACTGTGATTTGTACTGATTTGTGCGCCTGTGTCCAAACTGCGTGTGAATTTGATGTCAGCAACCAGGCTGCAAACTGGTACCGGTCCATGCAGTGTTGGCAAAGGTTGTATCGCTGTTATTAGATGTTATGACTGATAACATCTTTGTCTCTTAGCATATCAGACAAGAAGATCTCCTATCTGCTGTTCCCCGCCGCCAACTCTTGCCAGTGGGAGTAAAGAGTGAAAGCCAACCACAAACACAACTTGTATCTCTCTTCCAGTTTGGTTTTCTTTATAATGAATGCGTTCCAGGTTCACAGAGCTGCCGGCCTGACTGTAGGCTTTTACTGTAGTCTTGTTTAAAAAATATACTTGTACAAGACTTGTTGAGACCTACAGAAGTCTTTTTGGTTTAAGGCTTCGGTTGTCCTTTGTCCTTGCATGATCATGTGAGTGCAATTCAATTTCTCTACTGTACAATTTGATTTGGACAAATGTCTGATTCTGACTAAATGGGCCATGTGACCAGACGCATGTCCTAAGGGCATTTCCCTGCACAGTTGACTTGTAGTCTCACTTATCAGATTTAAAAAAAAAAAAAGAAAGAAAGCACAAGGCAAGTAGAAATGCACACATGCACTCTGCACACACACATTCACACATATTCAGCCATGAGGCTGGCAACTACCCAGCTGACCTGAGCTTTATGTGTGTAGATTTATCATTGGCTATTAAAATGCATTTGATTTTTACCAGGATGGCTCTCCACTGCTGGTTTCCTCAATAGGAGTCCAATCCGCCTTTTACAACCACTTTCTTTAACCTTCTCCCCTGCTCATAAAACACCAGCAGCTCTCCTCTTTCTCCACCTCTGCCAATTCCCCTCCTCCTTTGCTTCCGACTCTTATACTGTATCTCTCAATCTATTTTGACCTCTGCTATGATTCTATCCTTATGGAGTGTGTTTGTGTTTCTCCTCCTCCTGTCCTTGCCCTTCCTTCGCCTCTCACTCCTCTCCTGCACGAATACCCTCTCTGCCCCTGAGCTAGTTTTTTTTTTTTTTTTTTTTACCTTAATTGTCTCTTTTCCTCCTGAATGATCGATTCGTCACATTTATCTGACAGTCTTGGAATAAGGACAGTTCTCAAGCCTTTAAACCACCCAGAGGTCTCCAAAGGTGAGCATTCATAATGAGCTTTCATGGGGAAATTCAGAGAAAACACTTTGTTTTGAAGAGGATGACCGCTTGTTTTAATGTGCATAATGACACAAAACTCTTCATCCTTTCCCTCCCTGATGCGTCAACTCTCCGTTTCTGCTGCTGTGTTTTTTTTACGAGGAATCATAAAAAAAACAGTCTGTGTGTTGTTGCGCTCTACATTCATATAAAATTGTGAGACTTTTATTTTGAAGGGTACAGGTGACTTCTTATATTATATTTTTCTTACACCTCCTTAAGTATAAAGTGTTAACGTATACATACTACATACACAGTGGATGTGCTACTGTGAACAGGGCTTTTTAGATGTAACCTGGCCATGGAAGTAACGTCCGTCACCTCCTGTAGTTAGTAAGCTAGTAAGCTAGTTAGCTGGACGTGCTAACATTTGCAGTGTGTGTTAGAACAGGCAAACGCACTGTTCATTCCACACCTTACACTTTACTCTTGATTTTGGTATCAAAAAAGGTCTGCTGTGCCATGTTCCTGCTGACTAGCCATGATTGGACAGTAGATTCAGGAGAGGTGGTTAAGATCGTTTTAGTAATTTGATTAGTCATTCATTTTATGTGAATTTGATTTATCATTTTGTTTTGTTAGAGCACATCAGGGTCTCAGTATCTACACAAGCCAGTT